AAACAGTTTTCATAACATTTGAATTTTCCGATGTATGCAGTCTCATGCAGAATGAATGGAGTGAGCAAGTTTCTTCTCATTAATGATGCCGTTTTAATAATGACGTCGCTCCGAGACCCTCACTGTTATTACAACTCGTGCGCGCCCGTGCTTCATGTTTTAAATCGCAGACTTAATTGCGAGTCAAAAATCGCACTAAGAATATTTAAATTCGTATTTAATGTTGGTAGGCTATATCGTGCAGCCCTAGACTGAACTGTGTGAGTGTGTGTGTCATTGAAACGCAAATTTAGCTGTAGCCAAGTGACTTTGTGAGACCCACCTTGTCCCACTCTGCGACCCACAGTTTGAAAACCCCTAATAAAAAGCATAGGCTACTGACAGAAAGACAAACGCTGTGCTGAAAGATGCACAATACAGAATCTCGTAGCCTAGGATAAAGTCATTATGTACATTAAAAATAATTTGGGACAAATATAATGTGATTTTATGGAAAACTATGCGAGCGGCGCTCTGTGGCGCGGCAGGATTTGGAACAGCGTCCTGAGTCGCCATGGACAGTTGTTAACTTTATGTTGTTCAACTGAACATAACGTTACAAATCAAACTGTTAGCTGAACTATCCACAAAATAAAAAAACAACACTGCAATAAGAGCATTCTAACAATTGTGTTCGTTACAGCAACAGTAGCGTTTTCTCTCAGAATCATCCTGGGTCCAATTCAATTCAAATAAAAATAAATGCGTTATTAAGACACCCAGTGCTCTGATGTTGCTGTAACATTGTTGTTCTCAAAATCAAAATTGTGTAGCCTAATTATTTTCTGTTAAACATACTAACATCAAAAAACTCTGAATTATGAATATGTTGGCTACCATAAGTAAAGACTTTAGGTAACCTGAAACTGCGGTCAAAGGTCTATCGTCTATCATAAAAGCCAAAATGATTGGGTGTTTGGGCGTTGGGTGGGGGTTTTGGTTCTCTGTGGTTCTCTTATATCCCCACCCATGTCAAAAGCAAACCTACGCCCTTGGTCACATGACCTCGTACATTGCATTTATATCTATAGATTCTATAGCACTTTCCCAGAATTTAAAATGTGGCCTATGTGTCCACCAGAACGCCTATGACATCACCGAGCTGAAGAGGCCGCTGTGTTCCAGCTTGTCCCAGTCTTCCTCCTGCACCACCGCCCCCCTCATCAAGTCGTCCCAGGGCTCTCAGGAGGAGGTCCATCCCACCGGAGCCACCCTTCCCTACCACCACAACGCCAGCTGCGGCGGTCACTGCTCCATGGACTTCAAGAGCTACGTGTCGCGCATCATCTGGGAGGCCGACAACGACAGCCTGGCGTTCCCCATGGACACCTACCACGTGTACTGCATCGAGGGAATGGGCTCCAGCGCAGGCAGCCTCAGCTCGCTGGGATCGGCCGTTTCAGAGGAGGCCTTCACCTACGACTCCCTGCCACGCTGGGGCTCCAAGTTCGAAGGCCTCAGCGAGCTTTATCGCCGACCGGAGCTGGCCGTCCCCTACATGGACACGGTGCAAAGCCAAAGCCAGGAACAACAACAATAACCGGACGACTTCAAGCCCAGTGTTTGTTTTTGTGTTAGTGTTTTATAGCCTTTATAGGGTTCCAGTTTGAACGCTACAAAACCGTGTCCTAAGAAACGCTTTCTGTTGATTCGTGATACAGTCGCACAGCTTTAAGGGCGAGGAGCAGCTGAGGTTAGAGGACTGACTTGTTTTATTTATTGAGTGAAATATTAAATGTACTGTATTTATTTTTGCTCTGATAGGGAACAAAGCCAGCGAATCATCAGGACTTCACCATGATGAACATGGTATGCGCTCACAACTAAGGGGTGTTTTAGTGAACACACGTGACTAATGCTGCGTTTCATTCCACTTGTAAATCCAGCTTTCTTTCTGGAAATGTGCATTAGGATGCCACTTTATGTAAGATTTTCATCTTAGAAGCTTGTGCGGAACTATGATTTTGCCGAAATGTGAATTCACACTACCGTTCAAAATAAAAATAATAATAAAAAAAAAAGAAAACATGTAAAAAAAAACTAATCTTACTGACCCCATACTTTAACTAAAACAGGGAACCCATGGTACTGGAAAACTTTATTAAATTAAAATAAAATGTTTAAGTATTTCTTAGGATAGAAAATACTTCATTCATTCAATTCTATAAAATCTCTAAAAAATTTACAATTCTACAATTTTACAAATCTAAACAATTTAAAAAAGTAATAATTAAATTAGTCGTCATAAATTACTGGAAATCTAATGGACATGTCATGGAAATTGCACAGAAAAATTTGTCAAAAAGTTTGGAAACCCTGCTTGATTAATAACCAGTTAACAATAAACATTCACTGCATCAATGAGACAATTTTCCTACGTTTATACACTGATGAAACCTGTTCAGTGTGCAGTGACAGCCAGGTATAAAACACTAAATGATCTTCTCCGGATCATCATACACCAGCAGAGCCATTAGGTTCTTTATGTCATTGAGAATCAGATCACAAAACATGGTTGAAATTAAATAGATCCCACATCCGCCTTTGAATGGAGCGCAGCATTATTCCCAGCAGTTTACTGATCAGGGTGTAACGTTTTAGAAATCTGCACTTGACCAAAACTCTTGTTTTAATGGACCCAGCTGCACTAGTAATGGACGCCCACTTCTGAATTTTCACTCTGAAGCATAAATTTGCCAAAAGAGGGTCATGAAGACACAGAAAGACTTCATAGATGACTGATGTGCCAATGAATCACAAATCCGCTCATGCAAAAAGAGCATAAGTTACATTACTTTCGGTCAGTGGTGATATAAATCTGCATTCTGCCATGGATATTCATTGTGTAGTTTTTTTTCTTCTTTCTTTGTCCTTTTCATATGAGGGACGTAGTGTGTGATGCCAATCATTTCTGATGCTGGTGTGCTGAAACGTGGCGACACTATCGTCTGTCTCACAACACCAGATGAATGTATCGTGTATTGAGTAGCCGAAGATGAAACTCCACTGTGTCAAAGTCTGTTTTGAAAGTTCAAATGTGGCCAGACACAGCGCAAATACAATCATTAAAAAAACGTATGGATATATACTTACAAAGGATCTGTATAGTTCTATTTTTATTGTTGTGAAAACGAATATTAGTCTGCTCACATTTGCAGGCTGCATTTTGTAAGAACAATGAGCCATAAGATTGGGTTTTCAGTTAGGTTAGTCCTCTAATAAATGCTCAGAAAACCTATACAGAAACATAAATTGAGTTGAAGACACATGGCCTTAACATTTTCCTTTTTGTATATGAATTTTAATAAATGAACTGTTTTCCTTGAGCAAACATGAGTGTGGTTATTTTGTCTTGTAGTAGTTTCCTCATCCTACACGTGATTTTCTTTTGTGATGTTTTACTGCCATCCAGCGGTGGTTTTACAGTAATAACAGGCTGGGTTGTTTTTCTTTCTTTCGCCAGTATTGCTATCAGTTGCCTTGTGATCTCTAGTTTCCTGTTGATTTAGGTCCTACCAATAGGTATCATCTACATAATTTCCATGAGTTTTCCAGCCTTTTTAAACTCCCTGATATGTGAACCGAGTAAAATTTGCTCTTATTCTGTTAGATGGTTTTCTGAACCAATATCTGTTGAAGTATTACTCTTAAGCGCCATAAATTATCTTAGAAATTGCCTTTTTATTCATGACACGCTCCTGTTCGGCACCAATCAGACTCATCTACTAAACATTGTTAGCAGCTGTGTAGGTCAGTATAAAGCAGTGTGATCAGTTAAATGGGTAGAATGAATGTTTTTGGCAGCTGGTCAGTCTCATTTCGTATAATTTGCTATCTTTCCTCTCTGTGGTAATATGGTAATGTAATTTTCCCACTTTGCCTATCACATATATTTGTCTATATTTCTCATGTTTTGTTTTGAATTTTTGAGCTACATAAATCACTTTAGTGGGTGTCATGAGGTCTAATATATTTCTATATTTCTGGTTTAACTTCGTGCCCTTTCTGCCCTTTTTTTTAATTGCTACCTTCGTCTCTGTCTAAAAGTTCTCCAAGCCATCATAATGCAGTGGTACGTGGGACACATCATTAAAAGTAAAAGCATGTGTAGTTTGGAGCGGGTTCTTTGTCTCAGAGGTTCTTGCAGGGGGTTGGGAGTTCAGGGGTAGGAAGCCCACTGAGGAGCGGACACTCATTCCCAGAACTACACAATAACTCCCACAACAAAAGCATTGTAAGAAGAGTCCATGTCTTCAGCGCCAGCCACATGTCTGGCAGACTCCTCTACATACAGAGCAGCTGACCACTGCATAAACACATGCATCCTCTTTGCTGGAGGAACTGTTTGCTATATGTACCAAAATGGCAAAAGACCATTATACAACTTTAATATCAAGGAAAAACTCTTTATCAAAGAATTGAGCCCTAGTAATAGCCAGGGGCTTCTGCAAAGAGCTGCTGTAAGTTTCCTGTGAAAGACACTCCACACACTGTATATCAAAAGGTTCTCCTCTGTTTATCTGGGCGTGAGGACAGCAACAACTTTTTGGGAGACTCAAGACGTAACGACACCTCAACACCCTCATTAAGACAATTTGCAATTCGGATTTGTCTTAGTGCTTTTCCTTTGTCGCTCCACCAAAAGGTACATCACCGCCTCCCCCATCATACTCACATGCAACAGAAGCAATAGGGGACTGACACTGACTTCACATTAGACCAGCAACGTTTGTGCATTTCTGCAGATAAATGTTAAATTATTAGTGTAAAATTGCAAGTTTCAAAGTTTAGGGACAGTAAAAAACTTCTTATTTGAAATAAATGCTGTTCTTTTTAACATTATATTTAAAGTATCCTGGGGAACAAATTCCTTTTCGACAAAAATATTAAGCCGCACAATGTTTCCAACACTGATGAATGTCATGACAAAAATACACAGAAACAAATACACGACTCGTTTCACTTTTTAATAACTTCACGTTGGAAATTACACATTACAGAGTCTTGAAATTGTTATTTGTACACATATACAGTTCATCTTATGTACAATTCATAGTACATTTTTACACTGTTCTTAAATCAACAACGAAGCTAACATGACTGGCTCAAGTCCAGGTCAAATTTAATTCAAGCTATGCTACAAACAAAAAGGCATTAAATTCATAAATATCAAGCACCTCAAATTATTAAATATGCCTTTGGCATTGAGGAACAAAATTGCAATTCAAATATTAAAATGAAAAATCTATCTATATGAAATAAATATGCAGTTTGCTTTAATTCAGTTTGGTAAATTCACTTCTGAGGGGTGAAAACAGTCAAGTCTTACAGGAGTATCTTGAGAATGAAAACAAGGGAATAACGTTCACAAGGACCTGAAGGTTTAAGAAAACAGGCCAATAACCGATTCTGCTGGTTGTACAGGCTCGTCCTGTTTAACAAGCACATTTAGCACCACTGGGTTGGCATCGGACCACATTAACGCCAAAATTCAGAACATAGGTTTCACATCACACGCACACTCACAATCAAATTAAATTGTATTTACATAACATAAAACGGTAACGTATGATCCATGAAGCAGCAGCAGCATCTGTGCAGACTTCTGAACTGGCAACAAAGCCAGACGCTCTTAAGCAGGTTCAGTCTGAGATCATTAACCTTTCATTTCTAGCTTCAGAAAATGGATATTAATCCATTCTTCGATGGAAGGCACTTTTGAGTGCTTCAAACACTGCTCTGGGAAACCAAACTTAGGTTCTCCCTCAATTTCAAACAACATCTGAATGTTTGTGTGTTACAGACCCCCCCCACACACACACACAACTGTAAGTGCCTGGATGGGTTGGTCTGGAAGGGCTCTCAGATCTCTGGGCTGTGATGGCATTAAATAAAGACTAGCTATAGCAGGTTCTCCTCAAACCCGTCAGGCATTAGCAGGTTTCTCAGTGCTTTTAGGAGGGGTCAGTATTCCAGCTACAGCCAAAGGAGACATCCGGTCCAAGCTGTCCTGCTGCCGATCATGTGCTTCACTCTGAAAAGACACGCACACACACAAAGAATGTTAAAACTTGTTCAATCTTAAATAAAACTGATTGAGGAGACAATGAACAAAGAGAACTCACCAGCATGGCCAGATAGTCCACGTGGGTCTGTATGTTGTGTCGACCTGCCGCCACCTTTTTGAAGTCCTTCAGCTGTGGTCTGGGCCATTCACGAACCGCTCGTGCAAATGCGTTCATCCACCGCACACAGCTTGATATGCTGTCCCATGTGAGCCCTGGTAAGAAAGAAAAAGAAAATATTTAGCACAAATCAATCAACTGATTCAAAAACTTTAGCACAAAAAAAAAAGTCAGGGTTTCTGCAGATTTTAAGATCATTTCAAGACCAATTAAGGAAAATCTCAGTAATAAATTATTGGAACACAAAACATCAGTATGGTCTCTAAATGTAAATGTCTAGGGAGCACATAATTCATTCATCCAAAAAAAAAAAAAAAAATCCGATCACACTACAAAAACCATGTTCTTCCTCAGTATTTTTGTCTTGTTTTAAAAGTCTAAACATTCAGTAAATCAAGATACATTGAAAAGCAAAGTGACAAGCATTATTGCTTTCTGTATGCAAAATGAATGAGTTTTACAGTTAAAACAAGAACAAATTCGCTGATGTGGAGTCAGAAAAATATACTTAATTCAAAGGGAAAACAAGTTTTCATACCCCACTGGCAAATATTTGTTCTTGTTTTAAGCATAAACTCACTTCATGTTGTTCAGTTTGTCAGAAAACAAGGCTATTCATTTTGCATCTCAAGTGAATTTCATCTTAATTTAAAGATGATTAGATATTTGAACACAAAAATATGGTGGCTGATGTTCATTTAATGCCACGATTCATGAATTTAAGAAGGGCGTAGAAGGGCATGCTGAGACTTATAAAGACCTTTTTAAGAGCTGCAGAAACCCTGAAAAGGATATCCAAGATCAGAAAGCTCACCTGATACTTTATGGACCGTTTCAAAAGAAGTAAAGTGACAAAATGCAGCAGCAGCGAGGACTCCATACTGGTAATCCAAACAATTAATATCCAAAATGCAAAGATCCAACAACTGCAGCGAAGATCCAAGAGTCAGAAGAAGTATCAAGATAACAAAACAGCTAGATCCATGTTAACTTCAAAGGAGCTGAAGTCTCACCTGTGTGATTTGGATGTAGGTTTCCTGCGAGAACTGAGGAATGAGGAAATTAGCATCATCCTTCGAAGCGTCCACTTGGGAGTAGAGCTTCAACCATGAGATGACGGTCTCAGGACAGAGCTCCCACTTCAACGCCTTCAGTATCACAAGCTCTTTAGCAAGAATCTCCTCCTCGTTGCAGGCCCCGTCCGTCACATAAGCAAACTCCTGGAGCTTTGGCGGGTAAATCTCCTGTCAAACAGAGATACATTTTATGAGAAAAACGGCACCATGGACTTCTGTGATGTTTCAGATGACTTGTATTATCATTAACTAATCTTACAGAAAAAAACCCTAGTTCTATAAAACAGATTTCAGCTGATGTCAGTTTAAGTACCTCTATCTTTGAGGCTATGAAGAGTGACGTTATGCCGATGAGCTGCAGCTGATCTTTGCCGATGTCTTTTTGAGTGAGCATGAAGCGATCAAAGATGTCCTGAGCCAAGTAAAATGTCTCCCGGTGGAGAGTATAAACTTCACTGACCTGCGTAGAAAGAATTTAATATCAGATTAAACACAAACAATCAGGTGACAAGACCAAAACCCCTTTATATATGCGAATTTAAAAAAAAATGATTAAGAATAAAAACAAACATACCTCCATGAGCCAGTCCAGCAGAATGGACCTCATTTTGGGCTGCAGGGTCGGCTGCTGCTGGATGAAGCCCTTGTCATGTACATACTTCAGCTCCTTGTTTAGCATCTTTATCCACACATCATCTGAACTGGCCCAACTGACAGGACAACAGCAAATTAGTACTGAATGATATTAAAAACACTAAACGAAACATGTTCATAGATGAATTATGCTTGCATATTGATAAAAATCTTCCAAAACTAGCATTACATAACTCAGGAAGTGTTTGAAGTGGTTGCAATAAATTAAGCCAAGTTGTTTTCACTATGATTCTGGATTCGTTTCCTCATGTTGTCAAGCGGATTGTTTCATTGAGCATTATTTGTAAGAGGCTTTGATTTATTAGCATTTCTTCTACTTTTCAAAGGATGAGACGCTGTGATCATGTGTTACCTGAGGCATGGCAGCGGAGAGGGTTTCACAAAGAGGTTCTTGAATCTGAAGCGCTTGAAACCAGAAAGATTAGCGGTCTCCTGATGAACCTCTTTCTGAGGAGTCTCGATTAACACACTGGGACTAATATCACCTTCAAAACACCGGTTCTAGAAAAAGAGAACAGTGTTTCCATTTAGATTTTAGGAATAGGACTTAGCCAACTGAATATACATTGGGCATGAATAAGACCAGATTTAGATTACTCAGCATACTTTTCTTTTTATAAAACCTTGTTTAGTGTACATTATATATACTTTACATTCAGTATTGCTGCAAAGGAGTATCCTTTCAGGCATCAAAGAACATTTTATGCTTATGAACTTTTATCAATACAGCAGCTGCAAAACAAAACGTTAAGAATACTAAAGATCATACACAGAATACTAAATTTTTTTCCCCGTAATCTAATTAAATAAAAGATTTTTTTTCGCGGGCTGCTGAATAAAGGAAATAAACATGGAAGGTTCTGGACGTGACGTCACGGCACACTGATTAACTCGGTGACATCATTACTGCGCGTGACCGAATTACTGCATAATAAACAGACCGCAAGTGAAAAACTAGCATTTATTGCCATTCAAACTTATACTTAATTTAACCAGTCTTGGCTCTTTTAGCTGTTTAAAAATAATAAGAATAATGTACAAATTATTTGTATTATTAATAATGTACAAATATTAATAATGTACAAATACTGGACTTTTTCATTAACTGTTCCCTCCTGGTGGAATGACCTGCCCAAATCAATCCGAGCAGCTGAGTCCTTAGCCATCTTCAAGAAACGACTAAAAACACATCTGTTCCACCTTTATTTGACCCTCTAACTCTAGCACTTTCTATTCTATTTTAATTCTACTTTATCTATATTTATCTTCTTTGTTTGTGTGTGTGTGTGTATAATATATGTATGTATGTGTGTATATATATATATATATATA